CCATCCATCCATCCATCCATCCATCCATCCATCCATCCATCCATCCACCCATTATCTTCCGCTTCCTAGGAAGGTGCTTTGGGAAAATCAAAAATAAATTGACGATTACATTGCACTAACCTGTTTATTTTGGTTTCTAAGCACAGTATACCCACTACAAAAATGTAGACTACACACGGGCTCGTGTCATTGTCATCACATCTGGAACATTTTATTGACACATTGAGTTGGTTCAACTTGTTTTTTGTATAACTAATACCTCTGTGCTTACTACTGGATACTTGGACATGTTTTGCTTTGATAATGGTTTATAATTTCTATAACGTTCGTAATACAAAGCCAACTGTCGTACAAAGTTTGTTGTACTATAAGCATCAGAGAAATTTTGAAATGTTAAGTATGCTTAAAAGCCTAAATAAATTAACAATTACATTGTACTAACCAGTGTACTTTGGTTTCTAAGCACAGTATACCCACTACAAAAATATAGACTACACCACTGCTTCTAATAACAGCACGATCTCAGTTTAGCACTGTGACATTAAAGGTGGGCGATACGCATTCCCTTCAAGGAAAGCTAGCCCTTTAATTTATAATGGCATCTTCACACAGATAAAGCAGCGGTAATGTCTCATTGCAAATAAAAGGTGCAGCTGAGAGAGCTTGCCCAGACGTTCCCACACATACAGCATCTCATTATAGCTGGGATATGAGCCACTATCTGTAATTGAGGCCGGGAGTCGACGCACAGCGGTGCAGTAACCTACCTTATAGTTACGGCAGGTGGGATTGAAGGCGTTTGTGCCGCAGGCAAACAGAGTCTCGTCATTACGTGGTACCAGCACTTTAATGTAGTTGTAACATTCATCCTGTGAGGAGGGAAACAGCTCAGTGTTATTGTACACCAGGGCGCAGGACCATGCTGGTTCCTTCACACAAACAACACAAACACGGCAGGACTTAGAGGGTTACTTTTACTTTAAGTTCCACTCTCAGTCTGGCATTCTAGCTATAGCTCTCCCTCTGTGATGCCACTCGGAGAACACACACACACACTCAGACCATTTTTGCATATTGCAAAACTTCATGGCACAGGAAATGAAGGCGCAGACAGAAGAAATAAAACCAGGAGCACAAACAGAGATGAAGATATTTGTGTCTGGATAATGATACTCACGCTGTTCTTCCCTCTCACAGTGCACTTCTCCACATCCTTCGTTTTCCACGTCAGTTTCTGAAAAACGACAAGACAGCCAGCTGTCAGCTCAAAGGCGCCACAGTTTCCCACCAACTCAGCCTCTGTTGCTCCCAGTCGTTCAAGCGCCATCATGAAACGGCTGTGATGAAAACCTCATTAATTTCAATAAAACTGTTGTGGAGAAAAACCAACAGAGAAATACTAGAGACCCCAGCGGCGCTCGAGCGACTCATCAGTGGGCAGCCAAACACTCCTCAGAGATAAAAATCACTCTAGAAGATAAGCCGTGTGGCTGCACACACGAGGGAAACAAAGAACCACAAAAAGACGCTTGGATAATTTCACAGACTATATGAAAGAAGTCAATTAGCTCCAATTAACCTACTGGCAAAACGTTATGCCCTCACTGAGCAGACAGGACAAACACACACTCTTTTTGTACACCAGCTATATGCCCAGGGGGCTAGTATAGGAAAACATCCATCATTTTGTTAACAAGCATGTCCAGCTGAAGGATTAAAGCGCTCCTATTCTGTGTTGACTAATTTACGGACAAACTTTTCCCAGACCGCTTTCATTCTGCTGAGAATGCTGGCAGTATTGTGCACGTCTGGTTCAGTTTAGTTCCTTTGTGTCAACATCTCACAGCAACTTAAGACCAGACAGGAGCTTCATGTCTCACGCAGTGACATGAAGGGGAACGTTTTTCAAGCATTAACAGGCACGTCCAACCTTACCGAAGACAGTTTTATTTATGTGCAACTTGACTTTCTCCTGTTCAGATAACATTTTCCTGATATACCTTCAAGTTTTACGCATATTCACAATTATAGTTAAGAGTAATTTCCAGACTATAAACCGCCACTACATGCACAGGCTCTGAACACCGCGCTTATACAATGCTGCGGCTAATTTAAGGATTTTTTTTGACAGGCTAACGAGCTTCATGCTGCCAAAACATTTAGCCTCGTCACACCTGCGCGCTCACATAGCTGTGCAATACATGTCTCTCTTGGGGGGGGGGGGGGGGGG